ACTTCTTCCTTTCCTATCCTTATTTTTAAATTTTTTTTTCTCATTTGATTGCTCTGGCTAATGTTTCCAGAACTATATTGAATAAAAGTGGTGATACTGGACATCCTTGTTCCTGATTTTAGAGTGAAAGCTTTCAGTTTTTGTTCATTTAGTGTGATGTTAGCTGTTGGTTTATCATAGATGTGGCTTTTATCAGATTGAGATAAAGACTATTCCAATTTCTGTAGGGTTTTTTTTTTTATTATTATGAGTGGGTGTTGGACTTTGTCAAATGCTTTTTCTGCATCTGCTGAGATGATCAAATGATTTTTGTCCTTGGCTCTGTTAATATGGTGTGTTACATTTATTGATTTGCATATATGTTGAACCATCCCTGTAAGATTCATTTCTGGGATGAATCTGACTTGGTCATGGTATATAATCTTCTTGATGATTTGCTACATTCTGTTTGCCAGTATCTTATTGAGGATTTTTGCATCTATGTTCATTAAGGAGATTGGCCTATAGTTCTCTTTGTTTGGTTGGATCCTTCTCTGGTTTGGGTATCAGGGTAATGTTTGTTTTTAGGAATGAATTTAGGAATATTGCTTCCTTTTCAATTTCATTAAAGAGTTTGAGAAGTAGGAGCATTAGATCTTCTCTAAATTTCTTGTAGAATTCAGGAGTGCATCCATCAGGGTGTGGGCTTTTCTTTGTTGGTAAGTTTTTTTTTTTTTGGTACGGGGGATTGAACTCTGGTCCTTGCGCCTGCACAGGCGCTGGAACCATTGCACTAAATCCCCAGCTGTTAGTAAGTTTTTAATTACATCTTCAATCTCATTGACTGATACTGGTTTGTTTAGAATTTTTATATCTTGATTCAGCTTTGGTAATTTATATGTATCTGAATCTGTCCATTCTGTTTTTCATCTCATTAAGGATGTTTATATATTTTACTTTTTTTTTGGTACTGGGGATTGAACTTGGAACCTTGTGCTTGAGAGGCAGGTGACAGAACAACTGAGCTAAATCCCTTGTCTCATTAGAATACAGGTTCTTGAAGGAGTATTGATGATCTTCTGGATTTCTGCAGGATCTGTTGTGATTTCACCTTTTTTATTCCTAATTGCATGGATTTGAGTCTCTTTTTGATAAAGTTGGCTAAGGGTTTGTCAATTTTATTTAATTTTTTAAAGAACCAACTCTTCAATTCATTGATTCTTTTTATTGTTTTCTTAGTTTCCCTTGTATTAGTTTCTGCTCTGATCTTTATAATTTCCTCCCTCATAAAAGCTTTGGGCTTGACTCTCTTTTCTAGAAGCTTGAGGTCAACATTAGGTTGTTATTTGAGTTCACTCTGTTTTTCTGATAGAGGAATTCACCACTGTAAACTTCTCTCATAGGACTGCTTTCATTGCATCCCATAAATTTCATTATGTTGTATTGGCATTATCATTTAATTATGGAAACTGGCTTCTTTAATTTCATTTGTAACTCATTGGTTGTTCAGGAGGGTGTTATTTTAATTTCCATGTGTTTACGAAGTACTTTAGGTTTCTTTGCCATTGATTTCCAATTTCATTGCATTATGGTCTGATAATATAAATGAGATAATTTTAATTCCTTTACATTTATTTAAGTATGTTCTGTGAGGTAGTATGTGGTCTGTTTTGGAGAACATCCCATATGCAGCTGAGAAGAATGTATATTCTGATGTTGTGGGGCAGAACACTGGGCAGACATCTACTAAGTCCCTTTGTTCAAAACTTTGGTTCAGTTATGATAGTTCTTTGTTGGCTTTTTCCCCCCAGTTGATCTATTTGTTACAGTAGAGTATTGAGGTCCCCCATTACAATTGTATTGCTATTTACTTGATTTTTCATGTCTGTTAATAATATGCTTTATGTACTTGGATAAACTGGTATTTGGTGCATATATATTTACAATGGTTGTCTTTTTCTCTTTGTTCCCTTTACAAGGATGTAGAGACCTTCTTTGTCTCTCAATCAGTCTTGGCTTGAAATCCACTTTGTCTGGAAATAGAATAGCTACCCTTGCTTTTTTTGGGGTTCCTATCACATGGAGTATTGTTTTCCATCCTTTGACACTGAGTCTATGTATTTCTTTTTTAATTAAATGTGTTTCTTGTGTGAAGCATATTGTTGGGTCTTGTTTCCTTTTTTTTTTTTTGATCTTGTGTCTTGATCCATTCTGCCAGTCTGTTTCTTTTGATTGGTGAATTAAGACCATTTAATATGATGGTTATAACTGATAGGTATTCAGTTATCCTTGTCTTGTTATTTTCCTGTGGCTGGTTGTCTTTTTTTTGCCTTATGTTTAATTCCTTGTCTTGCCTGGTGAATTCATTCTGTTGGGGTTCATGGAGTTACAGTTTTTGTTATCTCTTTGGAGAATGTCCTTTAGAACATTTCAGAGTGCTGGTTTAGTGGTCATGAGTTTTTTTAGGTGTTCTTTGTCATGGAAGAAGTATCTTATTTCCCCTTAATTTTGTGGAATACTTCAGTCTGGGTTGTTTTCTTTTAGGGCTTGAAATATTTCCCTCTAAGCTCTTCTTGACTTGTGAAGTTTGTGTTGAGAATTCTGCTGTGATTCTGATGGGCTTGGTGATTTGATTCTGTGCCCTTAACAGTCCCCCCCCATTAACAGTTTTTAATATTCTGGGTTTTTTTTTTTTTTTTTTTTTTTTTTTTTTTTTTTTCAATCGAACTCAGGTCCTTGCGCTTGCAAGATGAGCAGCAGAACCACTGAGCTAAATCCCTGGCTAATATTCTGTTCTTGTGTTGAATTTCTGAAATCTTGACTATTTATTATTATTTATTATGGCTAATTGGAGTTGTGTATGCTTCTCTTACTAATATGTCATTTTTTTCCATGCTTGAGAAGTTTTCTGTCATTACTTCTGTGAACAGATTGTTTTATGTCATTTGCACTATCTCCTGCCTTTTTATCTAATCAAATCAATTTTATGTTATTCTTTATACCATCTGGCAGCTGGATTGATTTTTTTGTGGTCCTTTCTATTTTTAAGAAATTTTTCATGGTCACTAACTCTAATCCCCTCTTCTAGATCTGATATTCTGCCCTCACATTGGCTCGTTCTATTGCATATACTTTCAGTGGCATTTTTAATCTCCTAGATATATGTTTCAATCTGTTTCATGGATTCCATTTCTTTCCTATGTTGGGCAATCGTGGTTTCCTTTTTTTTTTTAATCTGTATCTGCTCTAGAGTCACTAACCAAATTTTTCATTATGGTCACCATCTCTGTAGTTATCTGAGAAATTATTTCTGATTTGATTTTTTTCTAGAGTCTCATTCATCTGATCTGTTACTTCTGTTACTTTTTTAGAGAGTCTGGGTGGGTGAATTTCAAATTGTTCCACCTTATTGTCCTCTTGGTTTGCGTTTAGTGAGCTGGAAATTTGGGGTTGCATCTTGCTTAAGTATCTTCTCGTTTTCTTTTTCTTTTTCTTTTTTAAAGTTTCTGGGTTGATACTTATAAATTGTTTATGACAAGTAGCTTTATTGCTAGTATTAGGAACCCTTAGGAAATGACTGCTTCTCCTTAATGTCTTCCAGATGTAGCTAGCTTTTGGGTTTTAAGCCTGTTGCAAGATCCTATCTCTTTAATATATTGGGAATGAGAAGTTGCTGCTTATTTGGCCTAGCCCCTGGTTCTTTGGTATTGGCCTATAGTATTGTTTATGACCCTTAGGTAGTCTCAGTCTTGGCATACTAGAGAGAAATACTGGCAATTATGTAATACAATCAGTAATAGCAATAGCATCAAACGCATCCTGGAAAATGACAAACTGTGCTAACTAGTAATTTGCCTCCTTAACCCTATGAACTAGATTTGTGGTTATATAAAAAATCTAAAACAAAATTGTACACAGTAAATATGCCTTCAGTAGGGCGATTTTACCCTCAGAAGAGAAAATTAAAAGGGGTTGGGGAGAGAAATAGAAGAGGAGGAAGAGATTAGAAGCAAGGCTGGAGGACAAAGGAAGATTGAGCAAACTTTGTGAAACTGGTGAAGACAAGGAAAAGAGAAAGAAGAAATAAATACAAGAACAGAACAATAACAACAAAACTAGAAATAATGTTCACTCATAAATATAACAATCAAGAAAACAAAACAAAAAGAAAATAAGAAAATAAAAAATTCACTTCAAGGCATGTCTCTGTTGTCACTGGCTGACAGAGTGGGAAGACAGAGTCCAGATCAATGTTGATTAATCCCATAAACCAGCCATAGATTTACAGCAGAGTAGTGGATAATCCCAGGAATCCTGAATCTTTAATTCCAGTAAAGTTCAGGCTGGTTCTGGCTGTGAGGTTAGAACCCCATTTGTTCAGCCTACAATACTCTGTGTACTTCCTGCTGACTTGAATTTTGCTCCTTAATCTCCTGCTTATTTGAACTCAGTTCCATCTTCCTGTGATAGCTCCAGTCTGCAGCTTCTCTGAATTCTGAGCTCAGTTTGGCGTGGCTGCCACTTTTTGATTTAATAAGTAATCTGTGTTTTCTTGAGAAAAAGTATAAACAATGCCCTACGCTTTTAAAAAATTATCCATCCCATAATTTGTTTTCTGATTCTGAGGTGCTTGTGAGAAATCCTAGCTGCTTAGTAAAGTATTAAAATACTGCTTTCAACTATGAAATAACAATTGATTAGTTCTCTTTTAGTTGATAACAATAAAGCTTTATTCCCAAAGATTGAGAACATTTTGTCACTGTCAGGAATTTAAAAATACATTTGGAAAAGGTTTCTGAATTACTTCAGTATTTCTTTGAAGTACTCAGTGTTTGTAAGTCTTAGAGATTTCTTCTGTTACTCTCTCTTTGGGTGCGTTTGGGAGACTTGATGTGACAAAGTGGAACTGTAGCTCAGAAAGCTTGTCTCCTTTATTAAAAACAAAAATCAAAGATGACTGCTGGCTTTGTGTCATTAAAATTTTAATAACCCTTTAATAGTCTGGTTCTTTCCTCCTTCTTTAGTATGCTGAGACAGTGAACATGGACTTTTCTCGACTGCACACGTATACCCCACCCCAATGTGTGCCAGAGAACACTGGCTACACCTATGCACTCAGGTGAGTTCTCAGGTGGGTACTGTGCCTGCCCAGGGCCTGGCCTTAAGGCCAAACATTCCTCCTGTGTGTGGACCTGCAGGGGTTTCAGAACTGTGTTCTGTCTTGAAAATGAAAAAATCTCAGCCTTTATATTGCATTAAGACTCTGCAGCACTACTGAACCTGCACAGAGGCTGTGTGGCTGCTCTGAAGGCCACATATTTCTGTGTCAACTCATCTAGTGACATAGATGTAATTGCAAATGACTTGCTGCTTGAGCCCCACCACAAGTCTGTGGTTGGGCTAGTGTTTTGTGATTTATACAGATGACTTGATGTTTCTGAGTTCACAAAAAAAACCTGAAAGAATATTTTGAAAGACTACAGTTTCAAGAGCATGACTTTGGTCAGGTGCCGTTTTTTGTTTTTATTCATGGTCTGATATCCTAAAATTTACCATTTGAGTCTTTAAGAGTTGCTGAGCTGCCATGTCAAATAGAAAGGATGGCTAACATGAAACTCCATATGTACAGTGCCAAAGGAAGCTCTCTTGCTAGGTTGGTAGGGATCTGACTGCAGGTAGAAAAAGCCAGGCACAGTGGCAAGATGCCTAAAGGCACATGGAGAACGTGCTGGTATCATCTGTCAGTGGTTTATCTTCTCAAGGGTGCAAATGTAAAGGAACCTTAAGAAAATTAGAGTTTTTTAAAATTCATTAACTTTATTGGTACATTTTAGGTATGCAATATGATGACATCATTGGAAATTTGTACTTTTACGTGATATATCTTCTTATTTTTCCTTTCCTCTGTCCTCCTTCAACCCGTCCCCACTCCCTATTTACAATGACTTTGTTTCCGTTTTTTCCTTCTCTCGAATTTATTCCTTTCCCCTCACCTTCCCCCTTCACCTTCCCCTTTGGACCTTTTCTTCCTATTTCGCATTATCACACATTTTGATCCTTATTTATACTTTCAGTTCCTCACTCCAGAGAAAGTGTTGGTATTTACACGTGTGTGTCCTATTTATTTCCCTTAAGAGTATGGCCTCAGTGTTTTTTTAATACTTATTAGCAGTCTTTGTTCAGATCTCGTATTTGACAGTTGAGCTTCTATTCATGATTCCAGGCCTCTGCCGTCGCCTCTGCCCAGAGACACGCTTTGTCTCTGAGAGGAGCTCTGGAGTATCAGAACAGAGTGATTGGCCAGCTCAAGTGAAGTTGCTCCCTGTTCCTGCTGTGGAGCTTAGAAACAGTTATTCTTGGTAATTTATTTTTAGCTTTTATAACTCATTTTAAGTATAGTTTAAAAAATGTTTATGGCTAGTTGGTATAATGGGAAAGTTACACTCAATAATTTTGTTGAAATCATAGCTTTTTCTCAGTCAGCTTTGTATAAATCAGATGGGCAGGAGTTGAACGGGCATGGTATCCTAAGCTGTGGTGGAAATTTAAATTTTAAGGGAAGTGGGAAGCATGAAGAGTTTAAGTCCAGGAACCTGCATTTCATCCCAGAACTATGTCCTATGTACACAGCACTGTGAGACTAGTGGTGGCCTAGAATAGGCTGTGCAAGGTCAGGGCTAGAGAGGGAATGACAGCCATGTAACCAAGGTTCAGGAGAGGAAGTGGGCAGATGAGTATAGGGGCTACTGGGATTGGAGCTTAGAGAAGGCTGGAAAAAGTCGACCAACAGAAGAAGACTCAGTGGTCAGGATAGATGGTGAGCCAGGCCAGCAGTCACTGCTGGCATTTAGTGACAGGCCCCCAGAGTAGGTAAGATGGCCACAAGTCAAGGGACAGCAGGGCCAGACAGAAGAGTAGAAAGATGGTAGGCAGGAGCTGGCAGACCTGGCAGTGAGCCAGAGTACCAGAGTACCCATGGCACAGGAACCTATGTGTGCCACCAGCATCACATCCTCACTGGCTGTCTGTCCTTCTGTTCTCAGCTTTTCATATTGCCAGCCTCTGCTCTGGAAGCCCCTTGTCTGCTCACTGGGTGGGAGCCTGGTCACCAGGCGCAGTTCCTTCCTCACCTAGAGGTGGAGGGGTCACATCTACACTGTCTTCTAGTAGCACCTCATCTCAGGTTCCAGCACTGCTCTTGTCCTAGTTCTTGGCAATTTCAGTAAACACCTGATTTTTTACCATCCTCGTTGCTCTGTTTGATTAATTTTGTTTTCTCTTGTGGAAAATGTCTCACAATGTAAAATTCAAAGTGTAGCAAGAAGCATGTTTGCCCAAGGCTTCATCCATTCTCTATGGTTGTAACCAACCTAAATACCAGTATCACACCAAACCCCCAGTACAGTAATTTTATTTATTTTGTTTTTGTTTTTTGAGACAAAGTTTCACTATGTAGTTTAGGTTAGCAAAGCTCACTATGTAGCCCAGAGTGACCTCAAACTCACAGTGATCCTTCTGCTTCAGCCTCCTGAGTGCTAAGATTACAGGTGTGTGTACCACACCTCTCCAACCCCAGTAATTGGTCCTTAACACCTCATATTTCACTGGTATTCCAGTTTCTCCCAGATGATTGACTTTAGTTTTTACAATCAATTTTTTAAAGCAACCCAATGCAGTCATGGTCCTTGTATTGTTTTTGTACGAAGGACAAGACCAAAGGCCTTTGCACTGAGCTAAGACCCAACCGTTTTTTAAAACTTTATTTTTTATTTTAAGGCAGAGTCTTGCTAAGTCATTAAGTTGCCCAGGTTGCCTTTGATCCTGAAATCCTCCTGCCTTAGCCTCCCAGAGTGCTGGGATTGCAGTCCTGTGCCACCCAATTGATTTTTTTTCTTGAGTCCTGACCTGTATTTCCTGTGAAATGGTGTTAGATCTGAAAGTTGGCTATCTTTTATTTGCCTCTTTCTTTATTGGCATCTCTCTGTGCAGTGGCATATAGCATCCCCTAAGACTTGAGGAGGCTCCTTGTATCTGTCATCTGTTTTGTGGTGTTGGGGTTGCCCATTTTTGTCAGCTTGTCCCATCAGTTGCCAAGTCCCCATCAGCTTCCCTCCATTGTAAGTATTGCAGATGTTGGTGTCCCTTGCTGCCCACTCCATTCAGCGACTAGTCTAGCGGGGAGGCAGTCTCTGGCTCTTTTGGCATCCAATGGCAGCTGAGCTACCCTCAGAATGAGAATGTTGTTGGGTGAATGCACCAGGGTCTCCCTGGGAGCTAAAGGCTACTCCAGGCAAAGGACAAATACCTGCTTTGAGTTAGTGGAGTGGCCGAGAGCCCAGAACCTGATGGAAGAGCTGAGCAGGCAGCTGAGAGCAGGGGGCAAGTGGCTTTTTCTGTTTTCCAGGGGATAGGGCACAGTGTGTGGCCAAGCAAGGGTCTGTGTAGATGCTGCTGATAAGGAGCTAATAGAGAACGGAAGGTGGGGAAGAGAGGTCCTGAAGTAGGGACCTCAAAGGAAGAAGGGTCCTGGAGAGGGGGAAGAGGGAGAGATGCAGGCTGGGGTTGAATTTCCTTTCCAGTGTACAGCAAGGAGGGGTGTGGACCAGGGTTCCCCAGAAGAGTGTGCATTAGTGTGTAGAGACCACATGGAAGAAATTGGCAGGTCCCAAGATGCACAGCTGAGTCAGCAGCTGCAGCCCAGGAGAGCCAATGGTACATTGCAGTTTCAGTTGGCAGCACTGGGCTCATGGCCCAGGCAGAGCCCATGTCCTAACTCACAGGCTTTCAGGCAAGAGGTCTCCTCCCTGCTTGGAAGAGAGTCTGCCTTCCTGTTCTATCCAGGCCTTCACCTGGGTAGGTGTTACCTAAAAAAGGCCACCTGCTTTCTGATTAAAATGAAAACCTGATTAAGAAACATACTCCCAGTCATACTCACTGTGTATCTATCTAGTAGTTCAGACTAGTATGTATGTATGTATGTATGTATGTATTTATTTATTGGTACCAGGGATCAAACTCGGGACCTTTTCCTTGAGAGGCAGGCAGCAGCACCACTGAGCTAAATCCCTGGCCCCAGTTCAGACTAGTCCTTGAACTTAGAGTGATCCTCCTGATCACTTGCCACAGCCTCCTGAGTGCAGGGATCATGATCATGCACTGCCATGCCCAGCACAAATGCTTTCTTTCTTTCTTTCTTTCTTTTTTTTTTTTTTTGCAGATGCATTCTTTAGCCTTCACTTAATGCAGATGCTCCTGATCACTAACATTTTTTACTTCACTTAATGCAGATGCTCCTGATCACTGTTAATTTCTAGATTTCAGCTCTGTCTGCCAATGTGAGCTGATTCCATGACCTCATGGGCATGTTGTCAGATTGTCCCACCTAGTGGGCATGCCACCTCACTGTGGAGCGACCACAAGTCCCTGGAAATTGCACATACACATATACATACTTAACACATACATGCACACTTCTCTAGCAGGACCCTTGGCAGCTAGGCCCTGACTTTTTCCCATTTCCTCCTCCGCAGGTTCCAGCAGCATTGTGTGCCATTTCTCTCATGTCAGCAGGTGCTCGGCCAGCCTGTTGTGTCTTCCCTTTTCTCTGAGAGAACCTTGCCCCATCACCTCCCTTCCCCCCATGTCAGCATGTGCAGTGTCTTCCCTGGGGTTACTGTGATTCATGTCTTGAAAACCAGGGCTGATGGCAGTGCCAGGGCAGCTTTGAAGGCCAGGCAAACAGCATGTGCAATGCCTGCTCATCCCCTAGAGAGAGTGGGTGTTCCTTCCGTCAATGATTTTTTATTTACCACCCACGCAGAATGATGCATCTTTTATGTAGTTGCATTGATTTAACAATTATGTGGAAGGCATTGGAACTGACATTTTGCGGGGGTGGGGGGTGCAGTTTGGGGGATTGAACCCAAACCTTTTTACTGAGTTACACTCATGGCCCTTTTGTATTTTTATATTTTAAGACCAGGTCTTGCTAAATTCCCTAGGCTAAGCTCAAATTGTGATCCTCCTGCTTGGTGCTGGAGTTAAGAAGTGACTTTCTTTATTACGTGCGGACTCACAGTAGTCTTGCCTGTGTCTAGCTTGGGTGCTGTGTTCCTGCTTCTGGAGCTTGGGTTTCCTTTTTCTCACATTGACTTGTTGTCTTAGTTACTTTTCTCATAGAATACCCGACACGCAAAGTTAAAGGAGGAAAGGTTTATTTAGCTCACAGTTTGTAGAAGTTTCAGTTCATAGTTGGCTGGCTGTAAGGCAGGGTGGCATGGAAGAGGCACATTGCAGAAGAGAAACAGTCCAGAGCAGGGCAGGCAGAAGGCAGCAAGCAGCAAGTGATAAGAAATGAACACAGCAGCTTTTTCTGTTCTGTATGACTTACCCGGGCTACCATCCCTTAGGGTGGGCGGCACTCACACCTGTAATCCTAGCATCACACTGAGAATCAATCCCAGCAGCACAACTCTAGATCTTATCATCTCCAAAAAGCCCCAGATATAACACGGCGTTTGGGGGGATATCTAGATACAAGCCATAACACTTGTTCATTGGTGTACTGGCCAGTTGGATGAAACATCACGCGGTAGCTATTCTTTTTATTACCTGCTTTGTCAGGGGTAGAATCTGCTAGTTATGTGTACTCTTATCTTTTTTTTTTTTTTTTAAATATTGTCACTGTAATTCCCCATAAGTAGGGATTGTTATGGACAGCCTTTCCTAAGGCAGTTGTTCTTAGGGGTCAGTCTACATATGAGTAAGAGTGGTGAGAGCACACACAGAAGTATTTGTTTACTGATTTTTGTGCACTTACACTTCTGCTTTATAGGAAAATTGTGACACACAAATAGTAGCTCCTTCACATTCACAAGAATTTATGCATTCTGCTCATTAATTTGATTTGTTTCGGACCTGGGCTGTTAACCTAATTTATCTCTGACATTTTTTCCTTCTAGTTCAAGTTACTCTTCTGATGCTCTGGATTTTGAGACTGAGCATAGATTGGACCCTGTATTTGATTCTCCAAGGATGTCCCGTCGTAGCTTGCGCCTAGTCACAGCAGCATATGGCTCTGGGGACAGCCAGGCTACAGATGCACACTCCTGTGCCAGCAGCACGGCCTCCCTCAAGGACAGAGTGACCAGGTGAGTACCACTTAGCTTTGTCTTCATGGCTTCCAGTGCAGATTAAAACCAGTCTTGGAAGCTTGTTTAGTCTGAGACCATGTTCCCCTGCTTGAGCTTAAGCATATATATATATATATATGTGTGTGCACACATGCACAGAACCACCCTGTAAAGTCATAGCTTTGGTGTGAATAAAGTCAAACTGAGTCTGGAACCTGTGAGGGTGCCTGGTGTTGAGCTTCTGAAGAGTGCAGGTGGTACACCAAAGCTCTGGAGAGCTGCTTGACCCCCAGTGATACGGATATGCTCAGGGGCCATTTTGTCCTTGTAATGAACACCTTCTAAATGTCAAGGGGGAGGAGTGTCGCCAGGGCTTCGCCTGCAGCAGACAGCCTCTGTCATTGACTTGTATCTGTCAGGATACATGAGTGAGCGGGCACACTTGCAGTTTAAGTACTCACCCATGTGCCACCATCAAGTGCATTTACTCTCGGGGCTCTGGAGTCCCAGAGGTACACTTGGTACCTCTCCTGTGCCAAGAACAAGCAGAGTTTACAGTTCTTTTGGCTACATGGTGAGACAAGAAATGAAAGTGACACCTTTACTGTGCTAAGGTGGCTCTTTGGAGTAGGGATAGTGGGGTGGCTGGCACCTAGACCTGTAATCATGCTTCCAGCTGGTCACCTGAGAGTTTGTTACCTAAAAAATTAGATTCCTCACTTTGTGAGCCTCACGTGCAGTAGTTTCATGACAGAGCTGCATATTGGCTCCAATATGCTCAATGTCAGACCCACCCAGTTATGCTGAGTAAACAGAGATCCTGAGGTCCATCCTAGGTGACAGACCAGGGATATGGCTGCCCAGTTGGTGAGTTTGTCACTGCTTTTCCCACCACCAATTTCAGAAAAGCACAGGAGTAAAATTTATAAATCAGAATTTTAAAGAAATTTTTAGGTCATTTTTAAATTCTGGTTATTTTATGTTTGAAGCACTTTCAGGACACTGACCACAAAATAATCTGTACTTTTTTTTTTTGTTTTGGTACCGGGGATTGAACTTGGGTCCTTGCTCTTGCGAGGCAGGTGGCAGAACCACTGAGCTAAATCCCCAGCCCTAATCTGTACTTATTTTGTGTTTACAATTTTGTAGGCAGTTCTTGGACCCCAGCTTAGAAATTATTTTGTAGATTAATAGGAATTTTATTACAGGAGAAAAGGTCTTATAAAATGGTTTACTTTAAAACCCTGCATTTATGCTTCGCCACAGATTTTGTGCTGGTAAAATCCAGTCATTTTGTATTGACTGGAAAAGGTATGTAAATGTGTTTCTTACTCCCTCTCTCCAGAACAGTAAAACAACGCAGAAATGCGAGCAAGCAGGCCTTCTTCAGCGTCAACCATCTGTCAGGGAAGGCCACATCCTCCAGTGTCAGCCAGGACAGCTCTGGCAACCTGCAGGACACTGTGCCTCTGCGGCCTCCAGTGCTGGATGAGTCTCTGATTCGTGAGCAGACCAAAGTGGACCACTTCTGGGGTGAGTCACTGGGAGATGCTTGGATAGCTTGGCCCTGGCCTAGGTTTTCCTGTGATTGTTCTGGAAAGGAGGCAGGGTGTGGCTGGGGCTGGTTTATTATATTTCAATTCAAGTAACATCAGAGAGGGAGGTCAGGTTCTCATCGCACTCAGGAAGGAACATGTTGGGTGCTGCCCTGCCTACCTAAGGTGAAACTGCCCATTATGATGTGGAAGATGGCGTGATCAGGCAGTGATCTGGTGGTTTTTGTTTTTTTTTTTTTTTTTTTGGTACCAGGGATTGAACTCGGGTCTTTGCGCTTGCAAGGCAGGCCACCAAACGGCTGAGATAAATCCCCGGCCCTGGTGGTATTTTTTTAAATATATTTTTTCCAGTACGAGGTATTGAACCCAGAGCCTTGAGTGTACTAGGTGAGCATTCTATCACTGACCTACATTTTAAAAATTCTTTCTTTTGAGACAGTGTTTTGCTAAATTGCCCAAGCTGGCCTTAAACATGGGGTCCTCTTGCCTCAGCCTCCTAAGTAGCTGGCGTTACAGGCATGTAGCACCTCACTTGCATTGCTTTTGTAGAATAGTTATTTACTTATTTATTTATTTGGTACTGGGGATCGAACTTGGGTCCTTGTGCTTAATGAAGCAGGCAGTGGCACCACTGAGCTAAATCCCCAGCCCTTTTTGTAGAATATTTAAATAAAGGCAATATATAAATTTACCACTGTGTTTCTAGAAAGCTCTAAGTAGCATGGCAGCCAGAGTATTTTTCCAAGTCATGAGAAAGAATGGTGTGGGGAGTTGACTGAGAAGCAAGGTAAGGTGACTGTGTCCTGACCAAAGGCCACAGTAGTGTGATGCATATCTCTGTAGGCACCTGGCATCCTAAAGCAGAACAGGGGACGTACCTTTGATAAGGAGCATAAGGCCAGGGATTTAGCTTAGTGGTTCCGCCGCCTGCCTTGAAAGCGTAAGGATCCAAGTACCATCCCTGGTACCAAAAACAAAACAAAACAAAACAAAAAACCATTAAAGATAAGGAGCACAGAGTTTCTTGCTGAGTCCATTTATGTTCTGATTGGCCTTTCTGAGGGAGTTGAAGACCCAGTATACTCTAGAAATCCTATGTGCTCCTTTGGGAGCACTGCTACTAGTTAGGCGGCTCCACCTTGGACATGGGTACTGAGAGTGTCCTGGATGTCTGGTTCTCTACGCCTCCTGCTTTCCTTTTGGGATCAGAGTACATGTTGTTGAGCATGGGTTCTGCCAAGGCAGCCTCCACTTCGAGTCAGCAGGTGAGGTCTACAGAGTTCTGCATCAGCTGCTGGCTCCTTAGTGAATAAAACATCCTGTATCTAGTTGCTGATATATCACCATGGCAACCTTTACTCTTGTAGGGGTGTGGGGTGGGGTCTGTTCTTGTTCAGTAGCAAAAATATGTATGTTTTTCAGGTCTTGATGATGATGGCGATCTTAAAGGTAATTACTTGAGTCTTTTTTCCTGCACACTTTTCAGAATAGAAGTTGTAGTTAGGTATCTGCAGATTGTGATAAATAGATTCTGTCTACTTTTTGGAAACTTCAGGTGGAAATAAAGCTGCCACTCAGGGAAATGGAGACCTGGCAGCAGACGCAGCAGCCCGTAATGGGTACACCTGCAGAGACTGCAGCATGCTCTCGGAGCGCACAGATGTGCTTACTGCCCCCCCTGCTACTCACAGGCCTTCCTCAAGGATTTATTCCAGGGATAGGAATCTGAAACGTAAGTCTCTTGTCTTGGGAAAAAGTTTCAGTGTCCATATATTCCTTGTCTTGTTACAAAACAGACTTAATAGATCTCTGTGTCTACACCATTTCTGTTGGACTCAAAACTGTCTTCTAAAAGTTCAGAGGAGTACACTGCAAATGTAGTGTGCTCTACTTGTCCTTTTTCTTCAGCATGCAGACAGTCTTTTGCACTCTTCCACATCTGACTGTGGGGTCGCCATTTTAAGCCAATCTTGTAAATCCTTGTATATTTTTATATATTGCATTAAATCTCTTTCTCTGGTAAGCCCTGACTGCTACAGATTTTGGTACTGAAAGTCAATGAAATTCTTTAATGGCTTTAGTGATTTCCTGGAGCTGGCTTTCTAATTTGATGAGACCCTAATGATGTGATGGTCTGTCTTTTTGATGTTGTAGGAAATACTAGTAGTCCTTGGTATGAACTGTTTAAAGTAATAACATGGTGTAGATCCATTTGATTATCCTAATTTACCACTTGTGAGATGTAAGGAATTCAGCTAGTTCATTTATGAAACTTTTCAGTTTTTTTGGCAGAGTGGGAATGATAATGATGTTAGCTGGTTGACCTTGGCATCTCTGGACAAATTAGTTGAGAAAAACAGCTCAAAACAGCCATCATAAATCTAATCTTTGAGGACAAATTAATAAAGAAAAATGAGGAGCTCCGAGATAATTCCCAGCTCCAGACACACATAAAAAATTTAAAAGTTTATATGTGTGTCCTGAAAGAGAATCTCCTCTCCTTTAGCCACAGGACTGAGATTGCAGAAACCCAAACACAGGCCCTCATAATTTGATTGGCTGAAATGCAGTAGAAGTTTAGTGCTCAGCCACCAAAAGTATTGGAAGTCAAGGTGAGGGCACCCACCCAGAGAGTGGGATCCTATAAACTGGGATAGAGATGTTTAGGAAGGCTGAGGATGTTTATCTCCTAGGCTCTAATGAGATTATTTTGCCAGGGGAAGAAATTTCCCTACCTACCCACAGTGGTAGAGGCATCCCCACCCCAACCCCCTGTGGTGTTGGCCTCCCCTACTACACCTGAGGAAACTAATCCTCAGCATGGTCATGCTGGCGCTCCTCAGGACCCACCCTGACCACCCACTTTTACCTCTAGGCTTATAACCAAGCTCGAATCCCAGAAGGCTCCTAAGGGTGAGGTGCATGGTGTGACCCATGAGGAGGTTTGCTATCCTCCCAAAGAACTTCTTGAGCTTTCTAATTCTTATAGGGCGAGCCCTGATGAGCAAGTGTGGGAATGGATTGTATGAGTGTGGGATAGTGTTGGCATAGAGTTAGGCTGAATTTGTCAGTATAGGGTTGTTAAGCAGAGAGTCTGAATTTAATGTTGCAGCTTATGGAATAAAAAGTGGTATTAATAGTTTTTGGCTGGTTGGCAGAAGTATGGATCAAATGACAGCCCACTGTGATAGAGTTAGAGATGTCTCATATTCCATGGTTTACTATTGATGAGGGCATTCAGAGGCTTAGGGAAATATGAATGCTGGATTGGATTTGTCATATCAACCCTGTTCCTCTACACTGGGATGATACAGAAAGATGTACCCTTCACCAACACCTTGAGAAACAGATTTTGTGAGGGGCGCACTGGCATCCTTGAAGAGCTCTGTCATTGTTCTCTGTATGCCAGACTTTACAGTGGTTACTTAGTTGGGAAACTTAAGGGCAACAGGTTTGATTGGATCCAGGAGTGTAGTGTTAAGGGTCAGATGGCAGCACTAAATAGCCAAAGGCAAGGAAGGTACAGGTACTTACTGTAATGGACGGCAGAAGCAGAACAATGATCAGAATGGTCTGACATGTGCAGACCTGTGGCTTAGGTTGGTTAGCCACACTTTCCAAAAGGGAGATAGACAGGAAGCCTACAGAGTTTTTACTAGATTTATATAATTAAAAAAAAAAAAAGTAAAGGCAAATGAACAGAAACCTACGTCAAATTGTAGTAACAGGGAATCATGGCCTCTAACCCAGTTTCCGGATTTGAGCCAGTTTACAGACCCAGAACCCCTTGAATGAAGGAGAGGCCAGGTCTCCTTGAGGAAAGGGCGTTGGTGTACCAGCAGAAATTTATACGGTCAGTTTTTCTCCTATCCTTCCCCAGGGACCTGAGGCCTTTTTCCAGAATAATTGTACATTGGAAGAAGTGAAATATCAGACATTTTGAAGTTTACTGGACACTGGTTCTGATCTAACACTGATTCCAGGGAATCCAAAATGTCATTGTGCCCTCCAATAAGAGTAGGGGCCTGTGGAGATCAGATGATCAATGGAGTTTTAGCAAAGGCCCAACTCATAGTAGCTCCAGTAATTCCTTGAATCCATCCTGTAGACTTTTCCCCTGTTCCGGAATGCATATTTGGAACAGATACACTTAATACTAGTAAGAATCCTCACATTGGTTCCTTAATCTGTGTTGCCGGGACTCTTACGGTTGGAAAGGCCAAATGGAAGCCATTTGTCTTTGCCTAGTAAAATAGTAAGCCAAAAAGATTATTACATCCCTGGAAGGATTGCAGAGATTAGTGCCATTACCAAGGACTTGGAGGATGCAGGGGTGGTGGTTCCCACCACATCTCTTGTTTAATTCTCCCATTTATCCTGTGCAGAAGACAGATTGGTGCAGGAGAATGATGGTAGTTTATTGTAAACTGAATCAAGTGGTGACTCCAGTTGCAGCTGCTGTACCAGATGTGGTTTTCCTTGCTTGTACTGATTAACACATTTCCTGGTACTTGGTGTACAGCTGTTGATTGGGAAAATGCCTTCTTCATACCTCTCCATAAGGCCCCTCAGAAACAATTTGCTTTCAGCTGTCAAGGCCAGCCATTCACCTTCACTGTCCTATCAGGGTATAGTAACTCTGCAGCCCTGTGTCACAACTTAGTTTGTGGGGCTCTTGATCACCTTTCTCTCCTACAAGGTATCACACTGGCCCATTACATTGATGATATTATATTGACTGGACCAAGTGAGCAGGAGGTAGCAGTCACTCTGGATTTGTTAGTAAAGCTTTTGCAAGCCAGAGGGTGGGAAATAAATCCAACCAAAATTCAAGGTCCTTCTACATCAGTGAAATTTCTAGGAGTTCAGTGGTGTGGGGCATGTAGAGATACATGTCTAAAGTGAAAGATAAGCTGTTATATATGGCTCCCCCACAAAAAAAGAGGCACTATACCTTGTAGATTTTGGCAGCAACACATTCCTTGCCTAGATATTTTACTGCAGCCCATTTACCAAGTGACTTGGAAAGCTGTTAGTTTTGAGTGGAGCCCAGAACAAGAGAAAGCTCTGAAATAGGTCTAGGCTGCTATGCAGGCTGCTGTGTCACTGGGGTCATATGATCCAGCAGATCCAATGGTACTTGAAATGTCAGTGGCAGGTAGGGATGCTGTTTGGAGTCTGTGGCAGGCCCCTGCTTTTGGGCCTTAGTGGAAACTGAACAGTTGACCATGGACCACCAGATCACCATGCGACTTGAGTTGTCTGTTATGATCTGGGTATTAATCTGATCCACTGAGTCATAAAATTAGATACGCATAGCTGCAGCCCATTGTTAAATGGAAATATGTGATTGAGCCTCAGCAGATCCAGAGGGCACAAATAATTTATATAATGAAGTTGCCCAGATGTCCATGGCTCCTGTGTTGCCTTTTGTCTCCCAGCATGCACCTGTGGCCTCCTCATAGGGTGTATCATATGATCAGTTACCAAAGTAGAAGGATAGGGCCTGGTTTGTGGATGGTTCTGCACATTATGCAGAACCACCCACAAGTGCATGGCTGTAGCATTATAACCTCTTTTCAGAACATGTCAGAAGGAGAGTAGTGAAGGAGAACTCCACGGTGGGCAGAACTTTGGGCAGTGCAGCTGATAGTGCATTTTGCTTGGAAGGAGGAATGGTCAAATGTGCTACTGTGTAGTGTGTAGTGCATGAGCTATAGCTAATGTTCTGGATGGCCAGGAATTTGGAAGGAACGTGACTGGAAAATTGGTGACAAAGATATTTGGGGAAGTGGTATGTGGACAGACGATATGGGCAATGGATGTAAAAATATTTTCCCAGGTAAATGCTCACCAAAAAGTGACCTCAGCAGAAGAGGACTTGTAACAATCACATGGATAGAATTACCCATTCTGGAGATAGCAGTCAACCTCTTTCTTCAGCCATCCCTGTCATTGCCCAGTGGACTGATGAACAGAATGACCATGGTGGCAGAGATAGAGGTTATGCATGGGGCCAGCAACCTGGACTCCTACTCACCAATGCTGACCTGGCTATAGCCACTGCTGAATGCTCAATATTCCAGCAGCATAGACCAACACTGAGTCCCTGGTGTGATGCCATTCCCTGGGGTAATCAACCTGTGACCTGGTGGCAGATTGATTATATTAAACCACTTCCATCATGAAAAAGACTATGCTTTGTCTTATTCTATATATTAATCTGCCTTCCCTGCACAGAAGGCTTCTGCCAAAACTACCATCTCTGGACTCACAGAGTGTTTTATCTGCTGTCATGGAATTCTACACAGCATTGCCTCTGACCAAGGGAAACATTTTACAGCCAAAGAAGTGAGGCAGTGGGCTCGTGCTCCTGGAATTTACCGGTCTTACCACATTCCTTACCATCCAGAAGCAGCTGGATTGATAGAAAACTATAAAATGGTCTTTTGAAGGCACAGTTATAGCACCAGCTAGGTGGCAGCAGCTTGGAGAGCTGAGCAAAGGTTCTTTAAAAGGCTGTGTAGGCTTTGAATCAGTGTCCATTGTACGGTATCATGTCTCCCACAGCTAGGATTAACGGGTCCAGGAATGAAAGGGTGGAAGTGAGAATGGTACCACTCACCATTACCCCTGGTGATCCACTAGCAACTTTGCTTTCCTGTTTGCATGACTTTACATTTGGCTGGTTTAGAAGTCTTAGTTCCAGAGGAGGGAAAGGCTTGCATCAGAGAACACAACAATGATACCAGTGAACTGGAAGCTAAGACTTGCCTCTGGTCACTTTTGGTTTCTTAAGCCTCTGAGGAAGCAAGCTAAAAAAGGAGTTACAGTGTTGGCAGAAGGGATTGACCCAGGCTCTCAAGGGGAAATTAAACTACTCCACAATGGAGGAAAGGAAGAATATACTTGCAGTGCAGGAGATCCCTTAGAGTGTCTCCTAATGTTACCATGCCCTTTTATTAAAGTCAGTGGAAAACTACAGCATCCCAATCCAGGCATAATGACAAATGGTCCAGAACATTTAGGAAAGAAGGTATAGGTCACCCCACTGGAAAAAAACCCAAAATCTGCTGAGGTGCTTGCTGAAGGCCAAGGGAATACAGAACGGGTAATAGAAAGCATAAATACTAGCTACAACCCCATGCTCAACTACAGAAATGAGGATTGTAATTGTAGTAGTTCTCTCCTCATGTGCTTCCTATATAATACAGTGTTGATAAACTTAATATTGGTTCTTAAGTGTTGTTAAACTTACAGTGTTCCAAGTTATGAAACGTTAGGTGTAAATGTCACCCAAAGAAAACTTGCCTTCTATCCTGAGAAGGCAATTAGTGCATTTCCATTTGTATGCAAGATAATTATAACATGTTAGGCATAATTATGAACTTGTCTTTGTATCTGGAGACTATAGCTTAAGGAAATGTGTCTGGTTGTCAAGTTGACAAGGAGTAGATTGTGTTAGTTAACTGTGTCAATGTGAGTAACATGCTTAACTAAATTGGATCAGCATAGTTCTGGGTGTGGCTGAAGGAATTTACTGAAGACAGAATAGTCTCACCATGGGTAGGCTTATTGCCTAAATGGTATAAAAGGAAACCAAAGAAGGATGGATCATTTCTGTTTTTCGGAGGAGCTCCAGTCTTCACCTTCGCCTTGGATGTTATCTCCTGGCTTCCAGTCCAGACTCTCCTGTATTTTCTTGGTGCCTCTTGCAAAGACCCTTCAGCCTTCCATTGCAGACCCTTTGTCCTCCTGATATGGACTCTCAGGGGACGCTGCAGTGAGCTCCAGGCCTTCGACTGAACCCTTTGAATCTTGAGCATGTAGACAGCACTTTCGTATGCCTGGTGGCTGTTGTAAGCCAGTCTGTAACTCCTTATGTACATATATATCTTATGTTAAATGTGTTTCTCTAGTGAGCGCTGACTGATACAAAGGGGAAAGGAAAGGTGCAGAATCAAAATGATGTGAATTTCCTTGTACTGTGAAGACATGTGGTTGGATACCTCCATGCTAGCCAGTGTCACTCAGCATTTAACCTAGGCCTGGGCTCTGTATTTGCTCACAGAGCCCATCCTATCAGCAAGCACCAGGGGTATGAAAGGGGTTAGCTAGGGTAAGAAATCTGCTGGTAGGTGTGAGGCTTAGACTAAACTAGATGTCCCCAGATGCTGCAGTGCTTCTGAGGTACCCAGTCAATGCTGAGCACCTGAGATAACTTGTCATCTTCTTTCCTGCTTTTTAAAAAATGATTAACAGTTCCCATCAGCTCCAGCCATCAGTCTACATGCATAACTATCTCATCAAGTGGCTTGTGCCACCTGATGGGACTGCTTCTTGCCAACAGTTGGGACAGTCATACATGAACCATCAGTAGTTAAGAGCTGCCCAGCAGCAAGACACGAGTTGTGATTCCCTCATGACCATGTTAAAATTCATCTAAGAAAAATTAACTGTTAACCATCTTAAAGTGTACAAATCAGTAGCATTGTATTAAATTCACCCATCTATTATGTTCCTGTCACGGGAAGTGCATTTGTATCTTCACTTAAGTGCTATCATTATGCAAATACATAGATAGTTTTGCAACTTTTTATTTTATAACTTAATTGAGATTAATTTAATTCTTTTTAGTGCCTGGCCTTACCTTTATGGTTTTAGCAAAATTTAGTAATTTTCTGGATAGATGTCCAGGTTTTTTTATGTTTATATGTCACTAAAAGTATTGTTTCTTTGGTTTGTTTGGTTGTAGTTGGGTGTGTCTCTCCAGCCCTTTCTTTAATGTAAACAAGCTGGAAATAGAATGGATGTGTTCACTTTAGATTGTTCCAGTTGCCTTCATTAAAGACCAACTCAGATTGCTCTTCCCTACATCAGGATAAGGGTCTCCTTCTTTCTCTGCTGTTTTTTTTTGTTGTTGTTTTTTGGGGGGTGTTGTTTTGTTTTTTTGGTACCAGGGATCTAACTCAGGACCTTGCACTTGTGAGGCAGGCAGCAGCACCACTGAGCTAAATCCCCAGCTCTCTTCTCTACTCTTATTTTTTGGTGCTAGGCATTGAACTCATGGCGCTACACATGCTAAGCATTTACTGTACCACTGACCTTTAACCCCAAGATTCCCATATTCTTGCCAAGTCTTAATTTTTGTTTTGTCTGAATCTTGCCAGCTTGATGGATTTAAAAAAAAATTCAGTGTTTTTAATTATCAGTAAGATTGAAGTGCACTGTCTCTAATAAAATTTTTTGCTGTTTTTACGAGCCTCTCTGTAGAGTTTATAATGATGTGTAAAGCAAAATTGGCACTGGGGCTCATTTTGCCTCAGGTTTGTTTTTTTAGTACATGGTTCCTATTCATGAATAGCCTTTTGCCTGTTCTTTTAAAACTTACAAAGCATCTTTTTTTTATTTTAAAACCCCAGACTGGAGAGTCAGAGGCAATGTAAGGTGGCTGGTCTTTGGCAAGATCAAATATTGTGGAGTTGTTAGTCCGGGAGTGGGATGGTTTTATGGAGGAGGCCCTTGCAGTGGCTTCCTGTGTAGCTCCATCTCTGTCACTACTCAGGACACTTCCCTGGCAGTTTTCCTTTATGTGCATTTTTAAAGTGCTTTGCTTCTGAAATTAATAGTTGGCCATTTGGTTTGTTAGGGGAGAAAATGTTGGCTTTATGGGAAGAAATAACATGTGTTCACGGTTTCTTAATAGGCGGTGTGTCTTTCTACATGAATAGGACTTTGTGGCTGGCAAGATACACTTCATCATCTTTTTCATCATTCTTAGCTCAACTTTTTCAAGTGGTTTTAATGAAGCTCAATTATGAATCAGTCAATTACAAATTGAAAAATTATGAATCAAAAGATTGTGAATCAGAAAGCTATAAGTCAAAAAGCCATGAATCAAAAGGTATTTAAATGTTTGCTTTTTCCTCTTTTCTCCACCAAATAATGCTTTCAAGGTGGAGAAAACACTTTCCTTGTAAGGCTCTACACTCATGCAGTCTCAGCACTGCTTCCTTCTGTCTGCTTTCGAGGGCTCTTCTTATTACAGGAGCTTGTGAGGGTGTTCATGTGCTCTGTACATAGTTCAGTTCTGAAAATTCAGTACTTAAACATTTAAAAAAAATTTTTAACATGAAAGGTAATATATTAAAATTTCGGTGTTTGCTTATTACCTTTGTTAAGCAAAAGCAGTTTATTTAGATGGCATTTAGAATCATGTTGTTACAATAATATTTAAGCAAGCCACTCTTTGTATTGTATTATCTGCATGGGGCTTTAAAATCTCTCCTTACACACAAAGCCCTGTCACTTATATTTACCTTCCGCTCTAGGAGCTGTCAGCCACCCTGAAATGCCTTGGGAGTGATCTCTGTCCTGCTGGCTTTGGGGTGTGGGGAGCACAGAGTTCACCCTGATGAGCATCCTAAGTGCCTCTTGCATGTGTTGCAGCTCATCGCAGTTACTGTGGGAGAATGACTGTCACAGAGCTTCCCAGGGAAGATGGCCATCACAGTGTGCACGGGGAGTCACTGTGTGAGTACACTTCGCTTCCACCTGCAGCAGTCAGTCTTGGCAGGGCTCCCACCTGTGGTGACCAGCCCCACTGGTTAGGATAGGTGGCGTGGCTCTTGCTCAGTTCCTCAGTAGTAAATCCTGACCACTACTAGGTTATATTTGCTGTGATATTTTTGGGTAACTGAGTTTCCTGGTGTCTTCTAACTATTTTGTATGTGCTGTTTTGATCGACAAAGTTTGCATATTAATCTGTCACTTCACTGTTTGTCACCACCCCGCAGGCGATGACTGTAAGGGGAAGAAGCACCTCGAGACATACACAGCCGCCCACTGGCAGCCATCCAGGCCACACAGGGTGGTGGGGGCCGTGGGGCACCTCTGCACCCGTGCAGGTTGTGTCTTGTCCCTATCTTTGTTGCTATGCCCTGTGACAGTGCTGTTGTCACTGTTTAATGTGTGCAGCTCAAGTGTTTAAAGCTCTTTAATAAACAAGAGTGGGCTGGGGATTTAGCTTAGTGTTGCTGCCTCCTGCCTCGCATGCACAAGTTCCTGAGTTTGATCCCTGGTACCAAAAAATAAAATAAAATAAAGAATAATATCATACGTGGCTTAGAATATGGAGACTTTCTCTTAAGCGTCTTTGTGAGCTGAGTGTAAATTAAGTACACATGAAACAGTATTTGTGGTGATATTAAAAGTTGAGCAAAGGCACATTGCCATCCTGTGTTGGAATGTGTTTGAGCAACAGCCACTTGGCCACTTCATACATGGCAGCTGTACTTGGTGTCCCAGGAAGTGTATGTAAAGAAAAGGATGTGTTCCATGTCATACATGTAACTTTCCTCATAAAACAGACTCCTTTTTAATGGCAGCAGTTGTTTAGCCTGAGCTTCAAAAGTAAATGTCAGTCTGAGTTCAAAAATAAAAAGTCTCATAGCTGTTAATAAATGTAAAGCAGTGGGTTTTTAAAAAATCCTCCTAAGTTATATTTATTTGCCTATCAGCCATGTAGGTGTGACTAATAGTTTCAGGGTCGACATGCAGATGACACATTACTTAAGACTTTGAGCACCTGCTATTAAAAAAATGGAACAATTTATTTCATGAGCAGCTTTTAGCCCTCTGCAATGTGTGATGTTCAATGCGAAGTTCATTATCTTTCCAAAATACTTTTCACAGGAAAAGATGTGCCTCTGCAATAATTGTCACTGTAGTCTTTGAGTAATCCTTTCTTATCCAGCACACATGACTGCTGGTGTCTGAGGCATGTCAGTTTGGCTTGAACATTTGCATTATGTATTCAACATGAATTCTGCAAAAACCAACTACCAGTATGTATGGGGCAGCTTCTAGCCACCACCCTTGGATTTTATGCAGGGTGATTGCATTTTACCTTTTATGCAGGCAGGGCTGAATGAAAACTATTTTATAGTAGGTTTTCATGAGTAAATTTCATCAAGCCTTGCTTAGCATTAAAATAGTACTCACCCACATATTGGAATGACCCCTGACTTCGTAACAGAAGGGAGTCTGGCACAGTGTATGACTGTGAGAGCCTGCTATGTTGTCAGGTGAAGAGCTGGTGCTCAGGTCCATCTGAAGGTGCCCTCCTGCACACATCTTCTCTGTCGCAGGTTACTTCTTGATGCAGATGCTGCGAAGGGCCAGAGCTGCTGGATGGTTTGTGGCTGAGACGGTGTTGTCAGTCCTGTGGTTGGCCACTGTTGCTCCAGGTGGTTATTCTGGTCATCTGTTAGCATTCTCTCCATTGCTTTGGCAGCTAAAAACCCATAATAAGCGACTTATCTAACCAATAAAACTTTCATTTCAGGTTCCCATTCTATATAATGTGTTCATTCTTTATTGGGGATGCTAACACACTGTGCTAGAGGCTGCATGAGTGTTCTTGTTTCTCTGTTGGTTTGGGATTTGTGTACGTCTGGTTGCCTGACTGTCATGTACATGAGGTGCATGGACCTGTTGCTTCCTTATCCCTTGTCCTCGTCAGCACTGCATACTGCTCTCCTGTGACTACAGCCTCATCCTAGGCCACTTCTCCCTGACTTCATCCTGAGCACTTCAGAAAACCTGTTCAGGGATCTCCTTGTGCTTCTGGCTTAGCCTTCATGGAAACTATCCCCCTGGGGCTCAGGGGCATTAGCATGTTTCCTCATGATGCTTGGTTTTTTTCTCTCCTAGGGAAGGTGGCCTCTGGAGCACTCTGGTGGCTGGGAATTGGATGGTACCAGTTTGTTGCTTTTATCTCTTGGCTGAATGTGTTTCTTCTTACAAGGTAAGCAAGCTGCTGCCACATTAGCATGGTGTGTGAAAGAAACAGCTTGTTCGAATTCCAGGCTCTTGTTTGCATTACTGTTTTATAGGGATGCAGCCTATACTTCCATAATGTCTTGTTATTTGGTATGTTAATGTTTTACATTAATAAAACATTTTATAGTTTACAGAGAGTTTTCATGTCCTTAGTTTTTCAAACCAGCCTGTGAGATGGGGAGGCAGGTACTGTATTGTTGAGAAAAGTGAAAGTATGCAGAGTCCTCCCACTTAGGAGATCTGGTCAGGCTGGAGCTCAGATCCTGTGGCACCCAGGGAAAGGGGTTCAGGCAACTGGGCCTTTCCATGGCCACCAGCTGGCATCTTGTGTGCAGTGTCAGTGTTCCCTGTAGGAAGGCACTCCTGTGGGCCTAGCCAGGCCTCTTAGATAGAACTATAACTGCATTTCTAATGTCTGATATGGGGATATTTTGTACAAATTGCTGAGAGGGGGAAAAGAGAATGTGTTTTATATTTACCAATTCAAAGGTTTTCATTTTTATTCCTAGGTGCCTTCGAAATACTTGCAAGTTTTTAATCTTGCTCATCCCGCTGTTACTTTTACTAGGTGAGTAAAATCAGGCTTAGTTGCCATCAATGATTGACTTGTCTATACAGGTGACATCAGAGGAATCAAACACTGGAATGTGTCTGGGGAGCCCAGTGCACATATGTAGCTGTTTTCTCTCCTTCCAGGTGCAGGCCTCTCTCTGTGGGGTCAGAGCGATTTTTTTTCCCTTTTGCCTGTGTTAAACTGGACAGACGTGCATACAGCTGAGAGGGTGGACAACCCCACGGGCAAATTCAGACCTGGGTCTTCTCACCTGCAGGTACTGAGGGCATTCTCACTGGCAACATTAAGTGTAGTGTTCAGAGCAGGTTTCATGTGACTTGTGGACAGGACAATTCCATTGGGGATCTGTTTTGGAGAGTGTTTTTAAGTGTCAAGCTCCTCTAATGTTCTGAAGTAGCCCAAATAAAGGCATAAATAGTCTCATTGTTCGGTTTTAATTTAGAGAGTAGTGGCCATTGCTTTACAATATAGAGACAGTATGCCAGGCGTAGGGGTGAACGCCTGTAATCCCAGCATTAGAGAGGCTGAGGCAGGAGGATTGCTGTGAGTTTGAGACCAACCTGGGCTACATAGTGAGTTCCAGGGCAGTCTGAACTACATACTGAGACTCTAGTCTCAAAAAAATAAATAAATAAGTAAATAAAATAGAGACAGTGTAAAGAAGTAAGTGAAGATTACTATTAGTCCTCTCACATGAGGGTGGTGAGGGTTCTGTGCATCTCCCTCAAGTGTCTGTGTACCCTGCACCTTGCACCAGGTTTGCCTTGGTACAACTGACACTTCCTGATTTCCTCTCAGGATGATGCACAGGCTTCCTGGTGGCTGCGAGAGAATGGCATGAGGCAGCAGGTGGCTTCTTTCTCTGCTCAGTGCCACAACCATGAGGAGAAGCTCAGGGAGCTAATGGTCTTACTTCAGAAACTGCAAGTGCGGGTGGACCAGATGGATGAAGGCAGGGAAGGGCTGTCACTGTGGATGAAGGATGTGGTCGCACAGCACCTGCAGGAGATGAATGCTGCTGGACTCCTAGGCACTAAGGTAAGGCCCAGGAGTTCTGGGAGAAACGCAGCCTTTGGCATCCTGTCCTGTGAATTGCCCCAGACCACAGATTAACTTTTGTAACTGCATCAAATGCAATAAACACAAACTTCACCTATACTTGGACCGATGCTCCCTGTACCATTTTGGTATGTGTTTCCCTGTCAGCATTAATTGGGAAAGGTGAGGTCCTGACCTAAAAGCACCTCAAGGTCATGAAGTCAGTTGTAAGAGTAGCTGCTGTTCCCTGTGGACTTCAGGCCTTTGGCTAGATATGCTTTGTGTGCTACTCACAGGAAGATGTGTTAATGCATTTCCTCAGAACTACTGCTTATATTATTTTGTCCCAAAGTGATTTCATATAGTTACACTGTGTTAAAACCTTATTGCAGGGTGGGGGAATTAGCTCAGCGGTTCGGTGGCCTGCCTTGCAAGCTCAAGAACCCAAGTTCAATCCCCGGTACTAAAAAAAAAAAAACCTTATTGCAGCCTTGCTCACTGGCATGCTTCTCCATGACAGCTTAGGTTGGCATGTGGCCACCCCCTCCCACTGCCCTCCAGTGGACTCTGTGTGGGCTGCGCATCAGCCTGTCTACAGCAGGCCTGTGTATACTGAGCTGGAGGTACTCTGGGCGTGGGACTTGGCACAGCCCTCTGCACTCCCTTTACTGCCTGCAGAGCAGAACTGCTTCCTTGATCTCTTCTCTGAGCTCTGGCATGCTGCCCTCACTGTGTCTAAAACAGGTTTGGTTCTTCTGGCCAACAACTCCCTGTGTGATGCCTTAGTTGGGATGTCACTAACCCTAGGAGTCGTCCCATGGGGGATTTGCTTCAGGCCTAAGACCCATCTTCATCATCTTCACCTGAGATAGTGTCAGTGTTTGTGACTTTGCATAGCTGTTGCTTGTTTAATTTGCTTTCTTAGACCTGACAGGGGCTATAAATATAGAGTATTTCTCAGTTCTGGTGTAGTATGAGGCACAAGTCACTGACTCAAGGGTTCCCCAGGTTGTCATGCATGCCTGAAAGTTTCATTTGCTCAGAGAATCTTAGATGTCGTGCTTTGGTTCCTCTGAGTTGCTTATTTATAGTTTCTCAAACATAAATTGAAGCCAGGCATGGTGCTGCACGCCCATAATCTCAGCTCTTGGGAGGCTGAGGCAGGCAAAGCACCATGAGTTTGAGATCAGCCTAGGCTACATGGTGAGTTCAAGGCCAGTCTGAACTACATAGCAATACCCAACTCAAAAAATCAAAACAACTCATAAATTGAGAGGATTGCAGTGAAATTCAATACAGAGGTTATAGTTTGGGTTTTTTGCAGTACTGATGATTAAACCCAGGAAGCCACTTCCACAGTGCCTATACCCTCATCCCTTTATTTTTTATTTTGAAGTAGTGTCTTGGTACTTTGCACAGGCTGGTCTCAAATTTGCAGACTTTGTGCCTCAACTTTGTGCCTCAGCTTCCCAAGTAGCTAGAATTACAGGCTTGTGCCACTATTTCTGTTCTATTCTGTTGGCCATTTTTCTTTTTTCTTTTCTAAGGTAAGGAGAATTTTTTTGGAAATAATAGAAAAAGCTCCTGGTTTTTCTAGGAGGGACATACAAAAGTGGAATTTCTGCATGGCCCCTCAGTCTAGAATTTTTTATGAATAAGTGGACCATTTTTCTGTGTTAGATGGAAATCTTGCACTTGTTGTTTTTGTGCAGAAGTGGTACAACTGTAGAAAGGGTAAGAACTAGACCAGCGTGGACAATGATGCTAGTTGAAGGGATAGCAGTGGGGCCAGGTTGCTGAATTCAGGCAGTGTGGTTGCCTGGTGTTCACTGTCCCCAGAGAGCATGTTGTATAAAATAGGGGCCCAGCATTCTCGCCTCAGGGGTGCAGCACCCAGGTGGGCTGATAACCTTCAGAATCATCTTGTTTCATATGGAAAATGATTGATAACTGCTCAAAAACCCAAGAAAACAGTAATTCTTTTATAAGTTTATAATTCATTTTTGTAAACTAACTGTATTCTGGTCTCATTTTTGTGTTGTATTCCCATAAACATGTAGCTGATTCTTGTTCTGTCATTTCCCAACATTGACCCATCCTTGGGTACCATCCTAATGGTAGCATCTAATAACCTGACCAGTGGCAGCATCTGGGTCCTAAGGCTCACTCATGTTAAACATTCTAGTTGCCTGATAATTAGCAATCTGTGATCTCCCCTGGGCCACTGACACCTATTTATCTCATGTCTACCCTGTCGAATAGAACATGCCACAAGTTGCATATGGCTGTGTGTACTGAAGTTAATGTTAAATACAGGTTTATAAGTGTAGTCTTTCAGGGCACTCAACACATTTCAGATACCCAGAGGCTACGTGTGGCTGGTGGCTGCTATGCTGGACAACCCAGGGGCAGGATTTGTGTCCTGGCTCACAGTTCTGTTGTATAACTGTACATACTGAAAACTAGTTTTGGGGACAGCCTTTCTGTGGGTACTCACTTGGGTCATCACTCCACCTAGCTAGCATTCACTTTCTTCTTATTTGTCCTTGACTTAGTCACTTTCTTGTCGCTGGAACAAATACCCTATGCCTAAACTTAGAGGAGAGGTCTACTTTGGTTTTTAAAGGATTCAGTCCATAGTGGATTGGTTCCATGTCAGGAAGGGATGAGGGAACAGTCTGGCAGCAATATGCTGCTCATGTCATAGTGACCAGGAAGCGGAAAGGGAAGCGAAGGAAGACAGCTTTTCAGGTCACGCCCCCAGTGACCTACCTCTTCTGATGAAGCCCTGCCTCCTAACAGCAAGTCAGCTATAGCACCTCCATGAAGCAATCACCTTCAAACACTTGAAGATTTTGGGGGACATTCTGATCTAAACCATAACAGTCCTGTTTCTGGTCTTATTTTTTAGGTGAACTTTTATATTCTAAATCACTTTGGTCCTTTTTTCCTCCTCATTTTTCCTCCTCATTTCCTTCCTGGGATCAAGAGCCCAGTATGCAAGTCTTGTAACGTGGACCGTGGTCATTCTGAACATACAATGCCACTGTTTGCCGTGTCTGCTTTCTGCTACATTGTGCCCATCCTTGTGTAACCATGATGCTACTTCTAGACCTCTCCAGGGAATGTACCTAATCTTAAGTCACTTTGCTGTCCTAAGAATTGCTGAAGACATTAGTGGGACCACACTGTTTCTAGCAGATTGCCTGTGTTCAAAACTCTTTGTGATTGGCTCATTTGGTACTCTGTTGGTCATGGGACTTACCAAGCCTCAAAGCCACCTGTCTGGTCACCTTCTTCATAAGATTACACAAGACATTTTGCGAGTGTTCTTGAGGAAGTATTCTGATGGGTTTATTCCTAAAAAATATGTGTCAACATATTTGATGTGAATATGAAAGGATCAGTGGGGGGAATATGTTATCATGTATCTTTACCAATGGCTGTTTTCCTTTTATTTGTTTTTTTGTTTGGTTTGGTTTTGGGTTTTTTTTTTTTTTTGGTATTATGGATCGAACTTGGGACCTTGGGCTTGTGAGGCAGGTGGTGGAACCAGTAAGCTAAATCCCCGGCCCTGTTTTTCTTTTAAATCATTAAATATAATGGCAACTACCTCCTAAATCTTTGTTGAATGAGTTGATTTGCTTCTGACCTAGAGTGTTTCCAAGTATTGTATTTAGAGTACTTTTATGTCACCAGAAAAGGTATATGTGCAGTTTCACTTGGGTCCAAGATCCCTAGGGCTAGAGAGATAAGGCCATCATGAGGGGAGGACTCCATGCTATGCTGTGTGGTGACTACATAGTCTCTGGCTTTTTGGTATTCTGTTTTAAGTAACATGCCCTAACTTGCTAGTTTTTATTTGTTACTTAACTTTTTCTACTGTTTGATCATTTATTTTTCTTTCTCAGATTGACTTTATGACTTTCCACCATGAACATGAAGTGCGTCTCTCAGACTTGGAAGGTGTTCTTAGAAAATTGACAGAAAAATCTGAGGTATTCATTCTTCACCTTAGAATTGTAGTGCCCAACAAAGTGATTTTTTTTCCTAATTAAAAAAAATCAACTATAATTAATATTTTCAAACGTTCTTAGCCACAAATGTGCTTTCTTTTGAGGTATTTGCTGTTATCTTTTATAAAACTGGAAAATTTGTTCCTAACTGTCCCTTTTCTCCATGGCTGTCCACTTAATTTCTTGATGGTTGATGTGGCTCCTGTGTTGATGGGGATGAAGGAGGCTGTGGGGTAGAGGGAGCACTCTGCTGGCTCCAGGTGACTTTGGATTCACATCCAGACCACTGCCGCCCAACCCCCCACTTTTCTTGGGTGTCTCACAGCCTTCACCAAGGTTATGCTATCTGGAGGGGGACTGAACCTGTGTGGGCAGTTAATTGTGGGTAGGAAGAATCTCTCACTATCTACTGCTGCAAACTGGGATTTTTACAGTGATCTGAGCTTCAGGTATGATGGGTCCTTAGAGCCAGGTCTTTGATATGTCTAGGGCGTAATATGGAACCAGGAATGGCAGACACTAATGTTTTGCTGAACTAAATCAAGTACCATGTACCTAGGGGTGTGTGGGAGTGTAGCCCCTTGGGAGTCTCAGAATCAGCTCCTAGACTACAGATCCTGAGTCCAGTGAGTTCCGCAGAGGAGAGGGAACCCGCCTTTTCCTGTGCTGGAATGAGAGGACCTCCACACAGGCTTGGGATGGGGCTGCCATGCCCTTGGCCTAGCATTGCCACATGGTGCCTCTAGACATCCTTGTTCAGATGGCACAGCCTTGGTGTGAGTTTCCTTTGTCTTGACTGTCCTCATGGGCAGCTTCTATTTCTCAGCCCAGGTGCTGCTTGTTTGGAAAAGTGTACTTTGAAAAATGAAACACCCACCCCTGGTCTGCCAGCCAAAAGGCAGATCTGGACTCTGAAAGAAGAGGAGGAAAATTCACAATAAAGATGTATAGTTTCATATTAATCAAATACATGATTTTGAGAAGTTAATAGGTAACTTGTGTGTTTAACCAGAGGTTTCTCATGCTCTCCAGGCCGTCCAGAAGGAATTAGAACAGATCAAGCTAAGAACAATCAGGTAGGATGATTCATATCATTCAGTAGTTTGTCTCCTGTGTTTCCCTCTCTGGCTACCTGGAGCAGTGGCAGTCATTGGCAGGAGTGCTGTTAGCATCCAACCACATGTCACCTGAAGTCATTGGCCTTTGTGTCTTTCTGGGGATGACCCCTTTGGGGCCATGTGAGGACAGAGGTCCTGGGGGACATGCAGCCCCCCACCCCCATGCAGTGTGGACAGGCCCGACTTTGCCCTAGGAGCCTTGCTCTTGGTGTCTTTAGAGGGCCACCCTCAGGGGCTCATGTCACGGGAGCCCTGTACCTGGCCTCCATTGGCATTACTGTGTCTCCACAGACTGTGCATAAAAGTGTAACTGCTGTCCCTGCAGCTGGTCAGGTCTTATGACTGCCGGCCTTTCTGCTCTTGAAATCAGCCCTCAGCCACCACCTCACCATAGCTTGCAGTTCTTATAGGTTCATCACCTTGCCTGAGGCCACTCAGATGCAGCTTCTTGCCTAGATGTTCACAGAGCTGCATCTCCCCTCCATTCCCATGGTGCTGTCTACACAGCCAGCTCCCACCACTCCTGAGTCTCCATAGGATGGCTTCTACCCCTGTCTTCCTGTAGTTTCTATGGCTGCTCTCAGGACTGTGGAGAAGGTTCTCACTGATTGAAAGGCAGCAAGCATGTGCTCTGCCTCTTGCTCTGGCCTGATTGGCAAGCCTGCATCCCTTATGTGGCAGCGTTAGTGCTGGGACAGTTTCACCCCAGAGCCTTGATTCTGGGGAAGGCTGTTTTGATGTGACAGCACACAGATCCCAGTGTGTTTGTCCAGAAGGATAATGATTCAGTAGGGCTTCTTAGTATCTCAGTGACTATTAGAGTGTCTATAATTATGGTACCTCCATAAACAGGGATCACTGCCAAAGTGCTGAAGCCCTGTGCTTTCAGTGTGACTGTCTCTTCCATTGGCATGAAAAGTGTAGACTCAGCTTGTTGTGGTTGCTGATGAATTTTGTCTCAGTTCTAAAGTCTTGTGTGTGATTTTAAGGAAACAGTTTTCAAGTCCTAAATAGTTCTCAGAGAGCTCATTCGTCTCCTGAACAGATGGCCACTGCTGATAGCTCTCTGTTAGGTGTGTCTGTGCATTGGGGCTGCCTTGGTGACCTGAGGCAGAGAAAAAAATCTGCAGGGTTGGCATTAAGATGTACATGTACAGCTCTTTGCTGGGCTGACTCACCCTTGGTGGGGCAATTTCCCCTTGTGAATCTGGGTCCTGACTTGTTTCTTCCTCCACACGGTGGCTCATTCCAGTGGGGCAGAGGAGCAGCCCCTCCTGCCTCGAGTGGAGCGCCTGGAGCAGCAGCTGGGTCTCCTGCGGTCACAGTTGTTGGACTGGCAGCAGCTGAAGGCCAGCTGCGAAAAGGTGGGTGCAGCATGTAGAGCCCACATTGTGTTTGGCTCCTGCTTTTCATAGTAGAAAGTAGGAGAACATGGAACCAAAGTTATCAAGGTGTTTCTTTTCTTTTCTTTATTCATTTATTTATTTTTTTGACAGGGCCCCACTGTGTAGTTCATACTGCCTTTGAACTCCCTTTTTAGCCAAACTGGCCCCCTACTTGTGGCAGTTCTCCTGTCTCAGCCTCCCAAGTGCTGGGATTCCAGGGGTGTATCACCATGTCTGTCTTCAAGGTGTTGAATTTCAACTTCAATTTTTTTTTAATGAGTGGGTGGGAATGTGTCAGTTACATTACACATTTAACAAAGATGAAGGCTACCTAAGAGAGTATGGAAACGGGCTAATTACGACAATTAATTCTCCTGTTTCTTGATGCTGCCAGGTGGATGCCCAGGTCAGAGAAACCCTGAGGCTCATGTTTTCTGAGGACCAGCAAGGTGGCTCCCTTGAGTGGCTGCTGCAGAAGCTGTCTTCACATTACGTGAGCAGAGATGACCTGCAAGCCTTGTTACGGGACCTCGAGCTGCAGGTGCTAAAGAACATCACGCACCACCTGGTGATAACAGGACAGAAGCCAACGTCCGAAACTGTGGTATCTGCTGTGAGCGGGGCAGGGATTTCTGGAATCACAGAAGCGGTGAGTGGGTAATAAAACAAGTTTAACCTCCGTATTGTGGTGAGACCGATACCCTGGTGTCCAGCTGGTGGGCTGTGACATCTGGCCCTGAGTGTGGCTCCCAAGCCATGGCCAGGCTCAAGCAGGGACTGCAAGGCAAGCTGAGCATAAGGACACCCGAGCCAAGGAACCACTTTTGTCAGTGTCACAGCAAACTGCTCCATGAAGCCCTTCATAGTCTCTGAATGTTTTTGTCCCAAAATTATAAAAATTTTCAGTCATACACAAATTTCCAGAGATCCCCATGTTACAGTCCCATTCATGCTGATGGTACCAAGTTCAAACAGAGGCCAGCTGTGACATGTCATCTGGGTTCAAAACTGAGTGAGGAGCTGGCACAGCAGCCCATTGCTGTCACTTCAGTTACACTAAGTCTCTGGTCTTTGTTTATATCACTAAATGTCAGTCTCTTCTGTCCTTCCCTGGCATTGTGCTTCCTTTTTCCATGTCTGTCCAGCAAGCTCGGGTCATTGTGAACAATGCTTTGAAGCTGTATTCCCAGGACAAGACCGGGATGGTGGACTTTGCCTTGGAATCTGGTGGTGAGTATAGACACTGAACCCCAAGTATGATGATCACCTGCAGCTAGGCGGGAACTTGAGAAGTGGTCAGGAGCATGCTGGAGTATCCCCAGGCTCCTACATGAGCCCAGGTGCTTCGTTCCTGGTCAGTGCCTTTTGAGCACATTTCTCATGGGTGTTGGGTATACTGGCCTGTGGGGTGCACACAGAGCTCAGGTGGGGATGCTCCCCCTGAGGGTGGTGATTGCCTGGTTGCCGGGTGCGTGGCAGGACAGGGGTGTTATTTTGGTTTCCAGAAGCTGTGGCCCATCAAGTCTCACAGTCAGAGCCATGAGTCCACCTGTGCTGGTCCTGGGTGTAGGGCTTTACATCCTGGGGAGGCAGAGTCCCTGCAGAGACCACACGGGTCAGTCCAGGGAGGGCTTTGCCACCATAAGTGGCACAATCATGGGTTGGTTGGTTTGTTTATTTTTGTGAAGACAACACGGGTCAGTCCAGGGAGGGCTTTGCCACCATAAGTGGCACAATCATGGGTTGGTTGGTTTGTTTATTTTTGTGGTACTGTGCATTGAACTCAGGACCTTGTGCTTGTAAGGCAGGTGCCACTCCACTGAGCTAAATCCCCAGCTCCAGTCTTCGTTTTGGCATTGTTAATTCTTAGGAATTGTAGGCAAGGGCTGGTGGACAGCATCACCTCCTGCAAGATAAAGGGATTTTTGGAGTGGGGGTACCAGGGATCAAACTCAGTACCTTGTGCTTGCCAGGGCAGGTGCAGCCCCGCTGAGCTATATTCCCGGCCCAAGATAAAGCAATTTTGTATACTCCCTAGGGTACGGGAGGGCTGGAGACCTGTGAGGGGACATTCTGTTTCACTTAACCAGTCCCAGTTCAGGAAACAGGAATCTAATTCCATTGCTCCTGGCATGGCTGCTTCCATCCAAGCCTTTACCATCTCATGTGGTCCTGATGTGGACAGCGAGTCCCCCAGTCAAAAAAAAAGCCACCAGCTCTTCCAGTGCCAGGCAAAAAGAAGTCTGGCTCTTGATGATTTCAACGTGTAACTTGTCTAAAACGATTTTAGGATTTTGATTTTAGTTTTACCTTTGGAAGTAAAGTGACTCAGGAAGAGATTACTTTCAATTCAGAGGTATTAAATGACATTTTACCCACTTGTTGCCCGGTGACAGTTGTCCTTTGCTTTTGGCACTGTGAGGTCCAGAATTGAGAACCCTGTTGCTCTATGGAGCTCTGTTCCCCTCTTCTCACTGTGATTGAGCAGGCTGTCCTTAAGAATGAGATAGGATTCTTGAAAACTATTTGTTTTATTTGTTTGAGGCAGAGTTTTGCTTAATTGCCCAGGCTGTTCTAAAACTTGCCATCCTCCTGCCTCAAGTCTTGGCGGTAGCTGGGATTATAGGCTCACACCGCTGTGCCTTGCTTCTGTCTTTGGATAGGGGTGGGTAAGTGACAGTCTTTTGAAGCATGGACTTGTTATATAGTTCAGGCTGGCCTCGAACTCACGGCAGCCTTCCTGCCTCGGCCTCCCAAATGCTAGGAGCATAGGCATGTACCACCATTCCTGGCTATTTTAAAGCATGGAGCTCATCGGTTGTTAGTGTATCACAGTGCTGTGCAGCCACGAGCATTTATTCCAGAGCATTCCTACCTGTCTCTGTGTGTCACTTCTGCTTTAGTTGGTAAATGTCATAGCATTGTTCTACTTTAGCATATTAGCCCTCTAAGAGCTCATCCACTGCGCAATGCCAGTGCTGGTGAGTTTGTGATTCTGGATTCATAAAAATAAAAATGAACAAAAGTATACTCAGAGCAGCTACCCCTAGCAATTGCATACTACTATTATAGGATTTTGAAAAGTGTGAGTTAGCAGGAGGAGGCTGATCAGTAGGTCCTAAGCTTCATCAGGCAGAGTGAGAAGTTCTGGTGTGCTGCCACACTGTAGGTGACTAGAGAGTGAACATTTCAGCTGTAAAGCAATGATACATGTTTGAAGATAGATGTGTTTACCCTGCCTACACAGGGTGTACACATAGCCAGCCACCACTTGGTGCCCCATTCACATGTGAAGTTTCGTTTTTAAGTCAGTGTTTTTTTGTATAAGTTGAAGCTTGAGAAAACAAGATGCTGAGTTAGCCCTTGGTTGGGGGTGGACTCAGGTGCTAACACATGTCACTTTGTTCCAGGTGGCAGCATCCTGAGCACTCGCTGCTCCGAGACATATGAAACGAAGACAGCGTTGCTGAGCCTGTTTGGGATCCCATTGTGGTATTTCTCTCAGTCACCCCGTGTGGTGATCCAGGTGAGCGGATGGATTCCTGTCCCTAGGCCTGCATGTGTCACCTTGTGACTGCCACACAGGACTGAGCCTGCCCCCCCCCCAGGCGCGGGCCCTATTAGGCCTGATGTATTGATGTATTTTTCCAGCTCCTTATTGTGGTAAGGTATGTGTACAGAAGAGTGTACAAGCCATCAGTGGCAGCCCAGTGGAAATTGCAAATGTGAACACTTCTGTGGCACAGGCCCAGGACAGGCAGCACATGTCCCAAGGACCCATCTGCTGCCGCTGCTGAAGTAGAGCATTCACCCAGCCTCTTCTGGGTTAATCGCTTCCGTGTGATCTTCCTTGTACAGCATTGACTGATCTGGAAGCTGCTGGTCTTCCTACAGTGCCCTTGACCACTGCCCTCAAATGTACCACTGCTTTTCTGAGGCTTTATTTTATACCAGGAGTTGTATTTGTTGAAAGGATTGATGCGTGATGAGTTTAAATTGTCAGCCACATCCATATCTAGCTCACTGTTCAGATGTTAACTAGTACTCATAACAATTTCTTGAAGAAACTTCCAGTAATTCATTCTATATGAGATTTCCACAAGATAGCTGTTGTTCACTTAAACACAGTTCACACAGTAAGATGAGCATTACATATGAGTAAACCTAAGCCACATGTTCTGCAGACCTGTAATCCCAGGACTGGGGAGGCTGAGGCAGAAAGATTGTGGGGTTGACACTAGTCTGGGCTACAAAGCAAGACTGTCTCAAAAACAAAGTACAAGTAAACCTAAAATTTAGGATTCTTCTGGTTACAGTGGTTCCCACAACTCTCTCCTTGGGCTTGGCGAACTTACAGGAATGGCTCACAGGATTCAAGGGACACTTGATGTTTACTGGTTTATTACAAAGTGTACTGATGAAGAGGGGCCCAGGTGAGGTACAGGAGGGACCCAGAGCTCCTCTGCCCTCTACAGCATCACCCTATGTAAACCTCTGTGTGCCCAGCTGCCCAGAAGCTCCTCCAAATCCTGTGCTTTGGGCCTTCCTGACGTAGACATGATTGACTACATCACCAGCTACTGGTGGTCCGCACACCCTTCTCCTGGATCTGAAAGTCCCAGTGCTCTGTCCCTGTGTTGGTTTTGGTGACAAACCCACCATGGAGCTACCCACTGACTCTTCACCACACAGAAGAAACTGCCTTCATAGTCTAGGGATACAGGAGTTGTATGCCAGGAAACAAAGTGGAGACCAAGTACTGGCATATGTTTCACAGCATCCCACCCTGTTGCTTTAGTTTGAGATATTGTTGTTATTCTATAAGGCAGAAAGATCTTGTCACAGGTTCCAGGACCAGTTTAGTTCCCTGTGTTCTGTGAAGAGTGTTTGTATGTCTTTAAGTTCTGCTTATCTTACTGTTACCAGCTGAGGTGTTAGAGTGGTTTCTGGAGGCATACGCTGCAAGCACCAAGGTACCTCAGATTCTGCTTTTGCAAAAGTTCTTTTCTTTCTCATTTCCTGAATAATCAGCCTTTTCTCTGTTTTGCTAGTGGTTAAGAGCTTGTTTAAAATCTTGAGTCTTAGTATTTTGCCTTTCCCTAGCCTGACATTTATCCAGGTAACTGCTGGGCATTTAAAGGCTCCCAGGGGTACCTGGTAGTGCGGCTGTCAATGAAGATCCACCCAACAGTGTTTACTGTGGAGCACATACCAAAGACACTGTCACCGATGGGCAACATCTCCAGCGCCCCCAAGGACTTTGCAGTCTATGTGAGTGCACCCAGCTTCTAGAGACAACGTGTGTGCCTCTTTCCCTTCTGGGAATGTCCGAAATGGTTCAGAAGTTCATGGCTTAGGCCTGGGGAGTGGGGAAGCCTCTCCCCTGCCTCGTCTCTCTACCTGTCCACACACTGAGTAGATGCAGTGCTTAGGGGACCTTCCTGTACTTCTCGGGTAGGGCCAATGAGAAGTAGTGTCGCAGCCGGTGTCCAGTTCCTGTGTGTGCTGACTAGCAGACTGAGTTAGATGTTCTGACTACTGCAGTGTGAAACAGTCAAATGACAAAAGATAAAGCAAACTTTTTCTTACTTTTTAAAACATATAGAAATGAATATAGAATTTAAAAAGGACACCCATTACACCAGTGCCTAGAGGAAGCCACCATGACGGTTGTGGCAATTTTGATCCCTTTTTTTTTTTTTTTTTTTTTGGTCTTTTGAAGATAAAGCTGAATCGGTACCGTTTGTAGAATTTTCTCTTGCTTATTTAAAAAACAAAATTTTGCTAAATGTCATGGCACACCCCTGTAATCCCACCACACAGGAGGCTAAGGCAGGAAGATCACTATGAGTTCAAGGCCAGCCTGGGTTACATAGTGAGACTCTGTCTCAAAAAAATATATATGTGGTGGGGAAGTGTGCCTGTCTTGGGTCTCCTTCCTGGAATTTGTACCCTTACCTTGGAGGAGTTGTGTTCAGTCCTATCTGCTCATGACCCAGGATTTCCTCTGCAGCACTTAGGAAACATAGAAAGCCCTTAACCATCATGAAGCAAACATTGGGGTAGTCCTCTTTATCATTAGTTTGTGCTTTGTTGTGGATGAATATATATAGTAAAGTTCTTCATCTTAACCATTTCTACTTGGTAGTCTTAGCTGCCATCACACTTGTGCCATCCTTACCAACATCTTTCTCCAGAACTCCCTCATTTTCCCCAACAAGCCCCACACCCCTGAAGCAGTTCACAGCCCCTACCCACTTTCTGTCCCTTATCCAGCTGATGCCCTCCAGGCTCAGGTGTGTCCCCAATTTCCCCTGAAACAGCGAGGGCCATGAGCGAATGTGGTCTGCCCTAGATACAACCACATCTGGATGCTTGTGAGTTTAGGTCCCACCTGACTTTCATCTCACATGGAGGAGAAGGTCTCCTTGTCAGGCAGCAAGACTGTCCTGATGACTGGTGTTATTTTCTGTTTACTATATGGCTTTGGTTTCAGGGATTAGAAAATGAGTATCAAGAGGAAGGGCAGCCCCTGGGACATTTCACATATGACCAGGAAGGGGAGTCGCTCCAGATGTTCCAGGCACTGGTAAGGACCCGACCCAACTGACTGTCTCTGTCAGCAGGAACAGACTGTGTAGGAGCTGAAGTTTGGCCAGTTTCTCTGGGAGCTGTGCAGATACTGAGTAGTCTGTGGCTAGTCAGGAATTCTCAGGGTCTCAGCTGGGCTTCCTATCCTGAACTGTATTGTGTGTTTATAATTTTAGTTTCTAGTGTGGCTGCTTCCTTTTAAATACCCACTAGGGGAAATGATGGGGCTTGGGGCTATTGATCTGAAATAAATGTGTTTCCCCTCAATTTCAGGAAAGACCTGACAAAGCTTTCCAGATAGTGGAGCTTCGGATCCTGTCCAACTGGGGACACCCCGAGTATACTTGTCTCTACCGGTTCCGAGTCCATGGCCAGCCCACACAGTAGAGAGGCACTCCTAATTTGTACAGTTTGTATATACCAGGACCCCAGAACACTGGAACCCTTCAGGGATGGGGGCATGCGTGGAACAGAGGGACGCATTTACCCCTTCAATAAATGTGGCGTGGCAGCAGGGAATGTTGACTTAGTTTTGGAGCCGCATCTGTGGTCTATAGAGTTGGCAGTGGGGTCTCTGGAATCATTTGAATGTATGGTTCTCAGACATTCATTTATTTGGGGTATTTGTTTTTTTAACAATAAAGCTCTTTATATTTGTATTTTCTGACATTGTAGCAGAGCAGATGGAGTTGAGAGTTTGACGAGTTCTTGAAGCTCTGGTTCTAACAGGACCTTGGGAGGGCAGACCTACTCCATCTGTTAAGCCCATACACATTTCTTTCAGGGAAAACTGTCAGCTTTTAGGTGAGACCCCTTCCCTTGGCTAATCCCCAGGTCCCCAGTGCCCAGGTGATAGGGCTGAAGTGTGTCCTGGGCCTAGTAGGATTCACTATGCTGATACCACAGAGGAAGGCGGGTGGGTGTGTCTTCACTGAGGGTCAGAGTCAGTCTGATGAGCACTAAACTTGGCTGTGAGGGCACAGTGTGGGTAGGAACCAGGACAGCTGGCCCTCTGATGTCCCCCAGGGATGTCCTGGTTCTGCTAACAGGCAACACTAAGGTGCCGATCCTCTGCGGCTGCTTCTCCATGTGGTCGCCAGGGAGCTGTCTTCCCTACAGCAGCACTTTTTGCAGTTCTCGGGGTCTGCCTTCCATTGCTGCTGCCAGCATTCTTACTTGGTTTTGTGAGACTTCTTTTGGTTATATAATTAATATTTAATGTTTAGACTATTTTATGAGCAGACTTTATAATTGAGATATGTACAAGGCACTTAAAGTGTTAATGGATGTTTTACCTACTAATTTAAGTCTCATTGGTCAAGACACTTGGCATTCCATCACTGCTGTACTTTCAGAAAAAGATAACAGTGGTGCTCACTGGTTTCTAGGGAGTTTTGTGTATGTTACACACAGTCCCAAATACCTCTGCCACAGGATGCAGCACTCCTGCTCCTTAGGATGGACTGAGGCATGTGCAGTTAGGTCGGATAGGATGTGTACAAACATTTCATATACTACAGATTACATATATGTCAAAATTTCCTATATAAAGCAAATTTGGGGTTGGGTGGAGATATTTTGAATATTTATTTTTAAAATGCGACATAGGACTTTGTGCAATGTATTTTTGTAAATGCTTTTCAAAATATGTCTTTGATAGTGTTTCGTTTGCTGCCACCAAATTGATAAATGCTATGGAGATGTTTAAATAAAGAGTTTTAATTTTTAAAAGTGCATGTGATATTTCAAATGAATAATAAACAGTGTATTTCTTTTCTTTTCTTTTTTTTTTGTCTCTGCCCACTGGGGAGTGGGGAAAGACTAGTCTTCATGCTCTATGTGAAGTGGGTGGGTGTCATTGGCCCTGCCAAGGCTTGCAGCCATGGCTTCCTGGGCACCTCATCCTGCTTAGTAAGTCTGCTTGTAAAAGGAACGGAAGGGTACCTAAGAATGTGCCCCCACATAGCTGGGGGTGTCACTCAGTGATACGTGAGCCAGGTTCCATGCCCAGCACTGCAAAAAAAAAAGCAAGTGTTCAGTGAGACAGTTGGGAAGAGGAGCTGGGTCTCCCCAGAACAACCTTAGGTCTGGGCCTCAGTCACTCAGGTAGGTGCTGGTTCACTGGCAAGCTGCTCTGAGGACTTCTGTCCTTGGGGCACAAGCTTTACCAAAAAGTCAGGACATTTACCCCAGTATGGTACTATTTTTTCCAACCATAAAGTAGCCGGTGGAGGTCTCAATGAAGGCCTTTTTAATAGTCTGGTTCCCATTATACACACGGGTGTATGATGTATGTTATGTTGACACAGCCGACTTTATAAATAAGCAATTCATAACTCAAGCTGCACAGTGTTCTGAGATGAAGCTCCAGGACCCTCCATCCCACCCAAAGTGAATGCCAAGGTCCTTGTGCTCTGGGCTGTCAGACTGTTTCATCACAACACTGGTGCTCAATTAACGCCAGCGTAGTGAGTTCCGGCTGCACTACCAGGCAGAGCCACGTCATGTGACCTGCCACATTCACAAACTAGGAAAACATACATCCTCGTTGGCATGAACTGAATTCCATCCTAAGTAGCAGTGCTGCACCCTAATCCCTCTTGGGCTCGACGCAGCCCCAGTACCTCCACCACACAGCTCCAACCCAGTCCCCAGCTGTTACCAGGGCTCTCGGGGCTGAAGAGGGTGGCGGCAGTCTCGTCCAACAGTGGCCTAAGGAGCCCCGCGTGCCCTGCCAGGGAACACCGCTGGAGGCCTCTGGAAAAGCTGCGGGCTACTCGGACGTCCTGGAAAAGTTATTACAACACTATCAGATTGTTAACCCCTGCCCCAGGACAGTTTGAGTAGCGGTCACGTGTCCGCTGCTTGGTGGCGCGATCCTGGCGTCCCTGCTCTTGGTTCCGCCCCAACCACTTTACCGCCCTAGGCCCCGCCCAGGACATAAGCCTTCGCACGGCTCACGCGGCCTCCAGCACGCTCCGCCCAGGGCACATGGCTGGCCCTCAGCTCCGCCCGGAGGGTGTGGCCCCGCCCGCAGGCT